ATGTGTGTCTGTAATGGTTTTTGGGATGTGTGTGCATTTGTAGTGGTTAGTTGGGATATGTGTGTGTGTGTGATGGTTAGTTGGGATGTGTGTGTATTTTGTGGTGGTTGGTTGGGGTGTGTATGTGTATGTCCTGGTTGGTTGGGATGTGTGTGTATTTGTGCTAGTTGGTTGGAATGTGTGTGTCTGTGTGTCTCTGTGTGTGTGCTGGTTGGCTGGGATGGGTGTATTTGGTGATTGATTGGGATGTGTGTCTGTAGTGGTTGGTTAGGATGTGTGTGTAGTTGTAGTGGTTGGGATGTGTATTTTGTGCTAGTTGGATGGGCTGTGTGTATGTCCTGATGTGTGTGTCCTGGTTGGTTGGGGTGCGTGTGTATTTGTGCTGGTTGGTTGGCATGTGGGTGGGTGTGTTGGGGTGGGTGTGTATTTGTGCTAGTTGTTTGGGAAGTGTGTGTGTGGAGGTTGATTGGGATGTGTGTATATTTGTGGTGGTTGGTTGGGATGTATTGGGTGTGTATGTCCTGATTGGTTGGGGGGGTGTATTTGTGGTAGTTGGTTGGGATGTGTGTGTACATGTGGTGGTTGGTTAGGATGTGGGTATGTGTGTGCTGTTTGGGATGTGTGTATTTGTTCTAATTCATTGGGATGTGTGTACTATTTGTGCTAGTTGCTTGGCATGTGTGTGTGTGTCTGCCTCTCTCTGCGTGCAGGCGCCCTCATGCAAAGAGTGTGTGTCTGGGGTGTGCAGGAAGAGCTGAGAGTGCAAGGTAGGATGTGGGAGTGGAACGCGCTCCCTTTTCCCTTCCCACAGGAGCACTTGTATGTGTGTGAGTATGTGAGTTTCCCTGTATGTCCTGTGGCGAGTAGGTGTGCATTTTCACAATAGCTGGGTGCCCACCTGTCTGGCAAGTGCCTGCTGTGCCTTTGAAGATGGAGGAGAGGGCACTGTGAAAGGCAGTGCAGGCAGGTCCTCCACCTCCTCCTACCTGCAGCTTTGCCTTTTCTGTCTTGTCTTATCCTTGGCTTTCATTTGTTAAAGGTGTGCCAGGCAATGCTGGTACAGTAAAGTGAAGGGTCAGTTTCTCTAGGAACGTCTGGATTCTTTATTACCATTATTATTACTATTACTATTATTGAATTGTTCCTCATTTGGAAAATTCTTGCCTACCTGGAGCGTGAAGGGGAAGCCGCTGTTTTCTTTTTCCAGTGTATAGGAGGTGGTTGGGGGAGTCATTTCTTTATTTCTTGTTTCTCGTCACGTTTACTCAAAGGGTGAATGGTTTGGAGGTTTACCTGCCCTATTGGTTTTTGGGCTGGATTGGGTTGGTTGTGGTGCTTTGGGACCACAATCTACACAGTTATTTTGTCGAACGATCACACCTCTGTTACCGAAGAGAAAGGCATCCTCCCCCATCTCCCTTCTAAATGATGCATTTATATTTCCTTCTGTTGCAGATGTAGGAATGAGGGTCGGAGCAGACTATCAAGCTCGTATCCCTGACTTTGAGCCTGGTAAATCTCTCTCTTTTTTTATAATCCTAGTATCTTTTTTCTCTTTCAGAAACGATAGCTTTTTGCATGTAGTGATTGTAGAAATACGAAGGGGTGTGCATTCATTTGAGTGTGTGTGTGTG